ACAAAGCCTGGAATTGATGCTCTATTTCGCCTCTCTCCTCTAAAATTATTGGGTCCAAAATTTTACCGAACTCATTCTTGTCAACGTGGTTTTGTACATACCCCACTAAATTTTCAGGTCCTTCAGGATGTTGATACCAAGTGTCAAGAGCAGTTAAGAGTTGAAGGAGAATAATTCCAAACATGTAGACATCACTCTTTTCTGTGATAATGCCTGTTGTAATGTAGTCAGGTTCAAAATGTCCAAACATCCCAACAATTTCTACTTCCACCTGTGATTCTCCGGGAGGCAATGCTACGAAGAGTGAGAAATCGACAAGCTTAGCAACACCATTATTGTCTATGACAATGCTTTTTGTGGTTAGATCTCTATGGATGATAGGCGTGGGAAATGCAGTATGAAGATAAACAAGAGCATTTGCAACGTCTCTTGCAATTTTTAGTCGATTACTCCAAGAGAGTGATCTACCAATATTATCCCTTTCTTTCTTTATATAAAGAAGGTCATACAGAAGTCCATAATTGATCCCGACTTCGTAGATAATAGCAGGAATTTCCAAATCTAAGCAGCAACCCAAGACCTTCAAAACATTTTTGTAGTGGTTCATCAGCACCGTGACTACTATGTCGTTGACAGCATAGGACGCCAATTGGCAGTTACCAAAAAAATGGAACTTCTTCACCAGAATAGACCGTTGCTGAAAAATGCCGCTGATGTAATAGCCCGTTAAATCACGCATAACATATCTAAAATCACGCATAAAAGGAACTTCTTCAACAGAGAAATCAACGTTTGTTGCTTTATTAAGTTCTTCAACTGTAAAGACGCGATAAGGAATGTTATACTTTCCATTAGAGAAAGCAATAAGCCCTTCTAACACCTTGCCTCCATTTCAATATACCAAGGCGATAATTTCAATTTCTCATTCCTCCTTTTCAAGAACCTTATCTTTCTTTTCACCCCCTCCATGAATAAGAATTAATCTATGTGTACATAGGTGTACACATAGAAGTTGACATAATGTGAGTGGGGTGGGACCCACGATACTGTAGCGAGGGTCCCACCC